TATTAAGTGAAAGAAGTCAAAGTGAAAAGACTACATAATGTATGATTCCTACTATATGATACTATGGAAAAAGTAAAACAATGGAAACAGTAAAAAGATCTGCAGTTGCCAGGGGTTGAGGAGAGAGAGAGGACCAGGCAGAGCACAGAGGATTTTAGGGTGTTGACACTGTTCTGAATGATACCATAGTGATGGAAATATGTCATTTACATCTGTTCAGACCCATAGAATGTACAACACCAAGGTGAACCCCTTGGACTTTAGCAGATGTGTCGATGCAGGTTCACCAACTGTAACAAATGTGCCCCTCTGGTTACATTCTCCTACCTGCCGGTCAGTAACCAGATGACAGCCAGCTTTGAGCCACCACATGCCCTCCCCCAGAGAAATGGTTAAAACCTACAGAGACTCTACCAACAACATGGCCAGGTCCTTACCTAATCTCATTACTGTGACGACCACCGGGCCATATTCCTGCCCAGGTGCACAGGGCTTCTCATCCACTCTTTAGACCCATTTCTAAATATGAACCATAGGCCAAAGATCACTAGGCATTTAAGGAAAACTTCCAATAATAAGAGAGAGCAAAACAAACAGAAGAAGGAACCCAGAATAAACAGACACATGAAGGGGAAAGAAAAAGGCAATACAAAAAAAGACTGGAGACAGATTCTGCATTCATGAAATAAACGCTGGATGCGGTACGTTAAAAATGAAAACAATTCATAGAATAAGCACAACTTTTTAGAAATCAAAAAGAACCAGCAGAAGTTAAAAGTTCAGTAGAAACTCTGAAAGATATACATTGAGGAAATCTGCAGAAAGTAGAAGGAAAAAAACAAAGAAAAAAATAAGAGTTATTGAAAGCAGGTAAAAAGAAAAAACAGAAAACTTAACAATGAAATCATACAAGAAAATTTCTGAGAAATCCTGATTGAAACGGCCCACCTAGTGCCCAGCACGGCGAGTGAAAAATGAACCACACCAAAGCATATGGTTGTAAAATTTCAAAGCAATAGCAATAAAGAGGAAGTTATAAAAGCTTCTAGAGAGGAAAAAAGGTCACACAGAAGAGCTGACAAGCAGCACGGCGCTAGATCTTTCGACCGCAACAGTGGAGGGCAGAAGGCAACGTAGCAGTGACATGAAATATCTGAGGGCGAACACTTCCAGCCTGGGCTGCTTTGCCCAAGCCAACTCCAGCCAGGTGGGGCAGGTACCCCAACATTTACCCTCACATGCCCTTCTTCTCAGGGGGTTACTAGAAGATGAACTGCAGAAGGGAATAAACCTAGAAACTCCCTGAAACGAGGGAACAACTCCACAAGGGCATGTCACAGCATCCAGGAAACACAGGACTGAACAGGGGAGAAAAGCAAAGGGGCTTCCTGGGCGTCAGTTTCAGGGAGCTGCAGGAGATGGCCAGCAGCAGGCCTAGAGAGCAGGAATAAATGGAAGAGAGGCCTCA